GGTCTACCACAAGACAATACCCACCTTTTTTTTTTTTAACCTGAATGAGCTCAGCTGTGGCATACCTGGCAGGACCTGCAGGAAAGGTAACACTCCTTTTGATCACAGGAGTTCAGAACAGTCCTTCTTTGGAGCAAGATGCTGCACAGCAACATCGCATGGTGCAAAAACCTGGTCAGCAAGGGGCAATTCTCACAGGTGCTGGTTTATGAAGGTTTTGAGGGACGATGTGTGTAATGCCTACTACTACAACCAGACACTGCCGAAATCGTACGGCTCTGACCCAGCAGAAATCCCTGCAGAAGGGCCTCTGTGATCTCTATGGCCAGGTAACGCCTGCAGTGGGAGGTGGAGAAGAGCAAAAACAAAAGCAGGGAGAGTTAAGTCTGCTTTACTCCAGGAGTGGAGCAGATTCTTCTCCACAGATAAGAAAGTAAGAGTCACCAACTACCTACCCCACACAGCTTGACCCTGGGATCTCATTTCAGAAGACACATAAGGGTTCAGAGCAAGATCTGGAGTTCTCTCTTGAAATTAATCTTTTGGGGAGCAACTTTGCTGCCATTTAAGCACAGATATTACATATACCCTGTTTAAAGGCACAGTGCACTGTGTGATATATTCCAGATTAGTATGTAAAAAGCCTCATTTTTCCCAAGACAACTGTTTTATTTACCAGACCTCAGTTGTTACCCCAGCTTTTCCACACAGGGTCACCCGGATTAATGCAGCAAAAGCCCGCTTCCCACAGATTCAGAGTTCCCACAAATTCCCACATGCTCTTCCCTTACGTGTATGTAAAAGCTTCCATCCCATTCCTTATGCTGATTCACAGCTGGTACCAGGAGCCCAAAAAGGACATTTTAATAGATGTCGTGTTGTGTTGCATCTGCCCTCGCCCCGATCCCAGCTCAGAGCCTCGGAGAACATCAGGTTCCGTTAACCATTTGCCACCTGAAGTTGCAACCAACAAACTCTCCCATCCCAGCAGCATCCAACACGTCCCCCTGAGTCCCTCCCCTGCTAAGGCTCAGGCCACTGTGCGAGAGCCTGCTTTAGAAAACATCAAGCCAGTCTCAACAGTGCTGTGCCAGAAGCCTGCAAGTTCAAAGTCCTGAGCAGCACTTCGGAGCAGAGTTCACAAACGCTTTATTATCACTTCATCACGGAGTTCCCCGCACTGCCCGGCAGCTCCAAAGGGGCCCTCCACAGCCGTGACAGTTAGTGCCACAGGACCACCAAGGTTTCATTAATATTCATATCCCATTGGCACTCGAGCAATCAATGAAAGCTTGCTTTCTACAGCAGATCATTAAGCGAGGGGAAATGAGTGACCTCTTAAGACCAGCTATGTCACAGATGTCACCAAGAGCTGAAGGGACAGAGACGGGGTCATCACCCAGCACTTCTTTTAATAAATAACAGTTCTAAATGAGCATGGCCTAGCTGTACCCAGTGGGACCCACATGAGAATGAAACCATCGGGGAAGCGGAGGCCTGAATCCAGGGCTGGGTAGGGCAGTTGCCTCCTCTTTGCAGCCCTGCCCCGGAGAGGCTGGGCAGCAGGGATGCTGCCACGCAGTGAGGAAGCAGCATCTCAGCAGCAAATCAGGTGTGTAATTCTGAAATAAGTCACAGTGTTTTGGCACAGTTAGCCCAGCTCAGTGGGAACACTCACCTCCCTCTACAAGTTGGTAGTGCTCAGGAGCACCCCAGGCCTTCCTCAGAGCATCCCAGCTCCGGGTATTTAGCAGAGCGCTCCCCCAGGCAGCAGCTACAACATTGCACACAGCAGAGACTTGATGTCAGATTACAGACTCTAATTGCTGCTATCAGTCAGAGGAACAATTAGCACCAGGTTAATGCATTCCCAGGGCTCTCAGGAGAGGATGGGGAAGGAAAAAGGAGGCAGTCCCAGTTTGCCGTGAGTTCACTGGGAGGCCACAAGAAAGCAACTCACAGGCAAACTTCCCAGGCACCCAGGATATTCACCACCTCTGAAACACCCAAAGCCGCACAGAAAAAATAAGCTCCTCCAGCCCTCCTAGTCCAAGCAGACAGCTGCCCTACCTCTACATTTCCACAGAAAGAAGCTAACAGAAGAGCACATCTCACCCAAACCAAGCCACCCTCCCTGCTGACACCAACATCAGCCACAGCCTCTCCTTTTTTTAGCTCCTTCATTGAAAGCCTGACACCAAACTCTTGCACATGGCGTGTGCACCCGCCAAGGCAGATTCAGTCCCTTAACTCTTTCATGACTCTTGGTCTGCATATCCCCATGGTACTGAGAGTATAAGTAGGATAACAGGCCATCTGCAAGCAAGGAAACTCCTGTACCCCCAACATGCATGACGGCGCACTGAGCTGCCTCTCCTAAGTGGATTTGCAGCACGCTCTGCTTCAGAAAAACTTTGCTACCTGACTCCTTACAACCTCTGGGAGGTCAAAAGTGGAGTCAGAAACTAAAAGACTGAAAAGTCATCCCAAAACCACAAGATTTCTTTCTAAAAGTATTTGCCAGACCTGCAAACTTATACAAGAAGTCCCCTATGTTTTTAATTCTCCTCCAAAAAAAAGATTGCCTAAGGACCAGGACAGACCACGTTCGATCTCAGAAAAGCAGGATGTTTAAGGCCCAAGATGAGAGCTTTACGTACCGCTTAGACCATTTAAATCAACTCAAAACACCAAAGAATGGCAAACAGCCCTTACAAAGCCAGGGAAGCAACATATCGACCCCACAAAGGGTTCCCTCATGAGCACTGCTGCCCAAAGCATCCTGCTGCTGGGACAGAAAAGTGTGCAGACAGAGGGTTACAGCACACACAGCTGTCAGGACTCCCAGGAGAGCTGTGGCTCCAGTGCAGCCTGGCAGTCCCTCTCCCCGCACTGAGAGAGACAGAAGCATCCCAGGACTAGGAGCCCCGGGAAATCTGCTGGAATTGGGTGTTGTCATCAGGCAGACTCACCCCAGCGCAGCACCCCAGGCCTCGGTGAGTCACGTCCACCTGTGCAGCCCTGCCAGCCAAACCCACAGGCATCCGGCCCTGGAAGGAGGGAGAGGCCGGTGAGCAGCGCTCAGGGCGCTGGTTTGCAGTGTTCCCCAGCCAGTAAAGCAAAGCAACCCCGATGCTACAGAGGCCCACAATTCTGGGGGTGTTTTAAAGTAATTCACCTGCATTCCCCTGCACCACCAACCCCGCACTGACTGTAAGTCCCCCCCCCCCCTGCCACTACTCTCACCCATCAGGGGTGGTGAGGGATAGGGGCTCCCCAGGTGCTCCCCTGCAGGGCTGCACAGCCCCAGCACCCCGCTCAGCCGGACCCCAGGCTGTCCCGGCAGCCCTGTGCCAAGGGCTGCAGGCCCAGCCACTGCCTCAGCCCTCACTGCACCTCCCCGGGCCTGCCCAAGGGCACGCTGGGCAGAGCGGCCCATCACGAGTGGGCCCCAACCCTACAGCCTGTCACAGGCAGGTGTCAGCCCCACAGCTTGACACGAGTGGGTCCCAATTCCACAGCCCATCACAAGTGGGCCCCAAGGCAGTTTTTGGCCCCACAGCCCATCACGAACAGGCCCCAGTCCCAAAGGCAGGTTTCAGCCCCACAAGCCATCACAAGTGGGCCCAAACCCCACAGCCTGCTGCAAGCAGTTTTTGGCC